GGGGGGGGATGGCATCCTGCCCTGCAAGCTATGGGACATGGGTTTGTGGGGCTGATGTTTGGAGTGTGTGGGAGAAAGGATTTAGGGTTTGTGGAGCCCAGGGTCTAAGGCTGCCACGGCCAAGGGTTTGAGGTCAATGGAGCCAAGTGTTTGGGTTTATGGGGCCGTGCTCTTGGTGTTTATGGAGGCAAGGATTTGGTGGCTCATGGAGCTGTGGGTTTGGGGGTTGTATAGACAAAATGTTGGGTTTGATGAGGCCATGATTGGGGATTTATGGGACCAAACGTTTGGGGATGGGGGTAGCGAGGATTTGGGGTTTGCGTGGCCAATGGTTGGGGATTTATGATGCCAAGGTCAGGGTTTCTGGGGGATGTAACTGGGATTTATGGAGCTGTGGGCTTGCAGTTTATGGGACCAGTCTTTTGCTTTATGGAGCTGTGGGTTTGGAGTTTTGTGGAGCCAAATTTTGAGGATTATGTGACCAACGATTTGGAGATGATGATGGGGATTTTGAGCTTTTCCAGGGCCAAGGGCTCGGGGTGAGCAGAGCACAAGCAGAGGGCTGAAGAAATACCCAAAGCCTTTGGGACCTGTGTGTTTCCCACCCCACAGCCTGCAAACCCTGCTGCATGCAAGCAGCAGATGTGCACAACACCCACAGCTCAGCACCCACCTGCACCTCCACCCGTGTCACTGGGAGGGGATGCTGGTGGTCCCTTTGCTGTTTTTTTCAGTGCTTTTTGAGTCCCCACTCTCAGCCCCCACCAGCATCACCTTGGGGGCCTGCACGTTGCACTTTGCTGTGCCTGGAGGGAGCAGAGTAAGAGGCAGACGGGGCTGCATGATTTCTCCCCCAGATGAGTAATTTAGCACCAGCATTTCCAACCATACTCCTTTTCTCTGTGTGTAAGTCCTTAGCTGCCCCCACTCCTCCTGTGTGCTGGGCCACGTGGGAGTAAACGACAGCTTGATGCACAGGGTGCAGAAAATCCACCCAGGGTTTCTGGGGCAAAAGGTTGCTTTATTGGTTCCACTGTGACCTATCCTTGGGTGCAGTAAATGTACACGTGTCCCACACAGGTCCTCATTTTGCAGTGAGGTGGCCGTGCATCGGAGCATCCTTCGGCTGGACCAAGGTGGTGTGTGATGCTCACATCCTCTAGCATCCATCTGTCTTCTGCCCAGGTGTGTTGGCACAGTTTGTCCCTCTGGAGTGGCCTCGTGCTCCTTCAGGGTGTCCAAAAGCTTCTGGTTCCCCTGCTTCACCTTCAGTCATCAACAGGAACCCCAGAGCAGAGGGAACTGCCTACAGTGGTGGGATCTGTGGGCTGCTGAGAAGCAAAAGGAGGTGCTGAGCGGGACACAAGCCCTGGAACACTTTGAGAGTATCTGAAACCCCCCGTGCACAATGCTTTGGGTGCACCCAAGGTTGTGCCCCGAAGCTCTGGGCTGATGGCATCAGGGATGGGGTGAAATACCTGGGAAGGCTGTTCTGAGGGGGGGTCTGGCTGGCAGGGGGTGGTTTTGCTCTGCTCCTGGGGCAGAGGGTTGTCTGATCTCTTCTGCAAGAGAGGGACAACAGCACAAAGTGCTGAGCATCTTCATCCCTGCACACCGCAGAGGGGAAGCTGAGGCACAGAATGCAGCTTGTCCAAAGCAAGTACTGGGAAGAGGGGGGGGGATCAGGAAGAGCAGCTGGGGAGCAGCCCCACCTGGGCAGGAGGAGCAATCAAAGCTGTGTCGTTTTCTGGGGTGGCTTCATCTGCAATGCAATGAGTGGAGGTGAATCCAAGCAGTAGGAGTGAATAAAGGATGGTCCAGCAAGAAAGCAGCTGAAAAATCTCACCTGAAAAGTCACTGATGGAGGTGGTTGGCTCTTGTGACCCTGTGGGAGAGGGCAGACACATGTTACAATAAGGAGGCTGAAAAAGATCTGAAAAGCCAGGCAGCTCCTTCTGAGATGAGCTGGGAAAGTTTGGGGTTTGCTTGGCTCTGTGTTGAGACCGAAGCTGGCCCAGGGTGGCCCAAAAGGTGCCAAACTGAGCAGAACTGAGCCGTGCAAGGAGAGGTGGTGCTTTGCAGCATTTCTGTGATGCTCTTGGGTGCTCTGAGGTTGCCAACACCCTTTCCTGTGGAGGCTGGGTGGTGCTGGTACCCCAGCACAGCAACTCACCGTCGCCTTTGGTCCTGCGGTAGGTGAAGAAGAGCACGAGCAGAGCAAAGACCACAAAAATGATGGGGGACCAATACCTGATGGGGAAGCCCGATTCATTTCCTATGGGAAGAGACAAGAGCTGAGGGCTCCTTGCCCAAAACAGAGCACCAGTATCTCTGGGGCCTGCAGGACCCTCCAGGGCAGTGGTGCATCCCTTAGCCACGTCTCCTCTTCATGAGACTCACGGGTTTGGTTCCCTGGGGCATCTGCTTGCTGTGGCACAGTGATGGTGGTGAGGTTCCCAGCATCAGAGGGGCTGGGGAAGCCCACTGGTCTCGTTGTCAGCCCACTCACATCCCTGGTGGCTGTGGTGGGAGCTCCCGTAGCCTCCGAGATATCGCTGTGCCGAGTGATGTTGTTGTCCCCCTGATCTTCTCCCTTGAGGGCGAGTGCTAAGAACAAAGTTCATTAATTCACATTAGGGCTGAATAGCCTCAGCAACACCAACACTGAGCTTTCAAATGTCAGGAGCTCGCGGGTAAGAGCGATTCAAATCTCCCAACTGCTCGCTAACGAAGAAGGTGCTAATGAGAGCAGCACTGCAGTGGGGGCTGTGCATAGTGGGGAAATGACACCGGGGGATTTTTGGAGCCACCAGCATTGTGCTGGCAGGGAAAGTGTGAGGGTAGTTGTACCGCAAGGCTTTACACCTCTGGCCGGGGTGTGCAGGATGTTTCCCAGCAGGCTGAGCGTGCCCAGTGACACATTGCAGCAGTGGGGACATCGTGGCCATGCGCTCACGGTGACGCAGCCACTGGAGGCAGGAAAGCTGTTAGTGGGGATGGCTGCACTCTGGTGTGCAATAGGGCCAGGACAGCATGGGAGCATGCAGAGAGCCCCGGAGATGTGCATAGGGCAAAAGCAAAGATTGAGCTCGCAGTTTGGCTTCCTGGAGCCTGGCTTTGCAGCGTCGCTCTGCGTGCCGGGCGTCACACCTGCTGCCTTCACACCACACCACCCACTCTTTTCCCACTTCCTCCTCTTCCTCTTCCCACCTCACCTTGGGTTTTGGAGCAGCCCCCGACCCCCAATCTCACTCACCAACACCCACACAGAGCACAGCAAGGAAGAGTCCCCCGAGCCCCGCTCCTTTCGCCTCCATCCTTTCCTGAGAGCCCCTCCCCTGTGGCCCCGCAGTGCCTTCCTTCCCCTTTTCTGCCAACGGCTTCTTGTGATCATGAAGGTGTTGTCAACATCACGTGGTGATTCATGGCCTAAAATTATCCCCGGGGGCATTTCTGGAGCTGTGATGGGGCAATGGAGAGAGGGCAATGGAGGTGGCGATGCCTCGGTGCCACTACATTGTGCACAGCCCCATCCTGCAGCAGAGGGCTGGGACAGATTTGGTACCACACAGATGAACCCTTTGGATAAACACATGATCCACAGAGCATTAAATCTGTTTTTAATTGATGGGTACGAATCCAAGAAACAGAAAAATGAACCATGTATGACCATGCTGTGAAAATGCAGAAAATGCACCGTGGGTTTGTCAATAAGATGCTTTTCATCAAAAAAAAAAAAAAAAAAGAAGAAGCAGAAAGAAATGGAGCTCAGATGTGTCTTGCATTTCTATTCTGGCAGTTCCTAGAGGGCTCTCCTGTGCCAGGCACTTCAAAGGATCTCTGGTTCCATCCCTGAATTATTCAGTATCCGTGCAGACAAG